TGTTGACTTACGCACTGTAAAATTGTGAGCTTTAGGTGAGTACAGCAAGCTAGCTCCTTTTTTCCCTGGTTATTATGTAAAGTATGTTGTGTTATATTGTATTTGTAATTCAGTTCCAGGAAAAATATGTCTGTCTGAAGAAGAATCTGTCGAAACACGTAATTTTTGCCTAGGAGGCGTGTTGCTTGCTTTGATGCTTGCTGAATCACTTTGTGTGGAGAATATAACCGCCTGCTGCATCTCTCATCATTTACGACTGTTGCAACCTCCATCGGTCTCTTATCAGGAGCAAGATAGTCTACAGCATTGGAATAAGCCTCTGTAGCTGTGGACTTTTCTATCAGTAGATATAGAAAGTACTTTAGGTTTCTGTGCTATAATGAATGTGTATAAGATATACTGGGGTCTCTATTGTATGTAAATCAATATATGAAGACACAAGTGCGTATTAGCAGAGTGTGTTTTGTTCTAACACGGTGTTTCTTTATGCTTGTCTAACCGTGCCGTGTTCTCTGTGTGTCTGTTGCTGAGCCTCCAGGTGGCACCTGGAGAGCTCTCATTATTACAATCGAACTCCAAATGGCAAAGATAATTCCCCTGGAGAAAGTGGCTGCCTCGGAGGGCGAACTCAATGGCCTCGTAGCCTGCTGAGGCCCCTCCCCTCCCCAGGCTCCGCCCTCAAAATCTCCAGGTATTTCCCAGTCCAGAGCTGGCAACCCTAGACGAAAAGTGGCTGCATTTGCAACAACAACAACAACAAAAGACATTTAAAATATGGCCACATTTCCCCCCCACACCTGTTCAGAACTACAGTCCTAACTTCCACTTTCCCAGTCCACCCAGATGCACCCCCAGGTTTCCCTCTCTCCAGGTTCCACTGTTCATTCCGTCACTGCATCTCATTCCGAGGTGCCGTTGTCCAGTTGGGATTCTTATTCTTCGGGGCTTTGCCAGGGCTTAGGGTGGGGCCTGCGCTTTGAACGAACACGTGATCCCGTTTCTTTTCTGCTGGGGCTCCCTTTATTTTCCGCAGTGGACGCTGGGGTGTGTGTGAAATCATACGGAAGCACAAAAGACAGCAAATCCTCCTTCAGCAGCTGCTTCAAAGGAAGGAGCAGGGCTATTTTTGGGCCGGAACGCACAGGAACGGAGTTCCGGCTGGCTCCTGAGTTGGCCACGCCCAGCAGGAACTCATTAGCATAATAGGCCACACCCAACAGCAGAAACTCATTAGGATTGGCTACATTAGGGGTGTGTGGCCTAACATGCAAAGGAGTTCCTGCTACAAAAAAAGCCCTGGGTTTTGACAACAAACAAGGTAAACAGAACAACAAGCAAAAGGTGGGTGTGGCTGGATGACCACACTTCTGGTAACATGGGGGTGCGGCCTAATGTGCTAATGAGCTGTGCTGTCCGGGGTGTGGCCCAATATGCTAATGAGTTCCTGTTGTTGGGTGTGGCCTATTATGCTAATGAGTTCCTGCTGGGCTTTTTCTACAAAAAGAGCCCTGGAGGAGCCAAGCAGGTTCATAAACAGACAAGCGATACTGTGGGATGAGTATATGACAGGGTTGCCAGGTCTGGCTTGGAAATGCCTGGAGACTTTGGGGGTGGATCCAGGAGAGGGTGGGGTTTGGGGAGGGGAGGGGCCTCAGCAGGGTACAATACCGTAGAGTCCACCCTTCAAAGCAGCTATTTTCTCCAGGGGAGCTGATCAGTGTTTAAGCTGAGTTAGTGTGAGCCAGCTCGCAGTTTTTTAGCCTCCGGCTCACACATTTTGTCTTAGCTCAGGAAGGAAGGCTCCAGAGCATACTAATTTATGCAGTAGCCAAATCGCTCGCTCACAACTTTAATGCCAGTAGCTCACAAAGTAGAATTTTTGCTCACAAGACTCCACAGCTTAGAGGGAGCATTGGCGCTGATCTCTGTCCGCTGGAGATCAGTCGTAAAAGCGAGAGATCTCCAGGCCCCACTTGGAGACTGGCAACCCTAGTACATGGGACACAGCAGCAGTAGGAAGCATTTCCTTTTTTTTTCCACCCCAAAGTGCAGTGTAATTGCTAACCATCAAAGCATAACAGAGGAATACATAGAGATGTGTGGGTTAATGTACAAATCAGGGATGAATGTGTGTGTAATAGCTCCAAAGGGAGAAAGAACAGACACACACACACACACACGGCACACACACATCCATCCTTAGTTAAGCATGCCTTTTTGGAATGGTACGAGCATGCTACTCCAGCATTTGACCGGCTGGGACTACGCCTCACTTCAGCAACCTGCCGTTCTTCAAGGAGTGAAGAGCTCAGAGGCTGGAGTTCAGAGAGGGTGAGGGAATTCTTTAGGCGGGGGTTCAGCCGTGCGTTCTCCAGAGACCTGCAACAGAGACGGGGAAAAGGCAGAGGCACAGAAGAAGGCTGATTTTACTCTGCTCCCTGATTCAGGGCCATCACGATGCCCACTGCTGTGTTTCCTGGTTCCCATTTGCTTTCCCCTCAAACCACCTCTTTCTCAAAGCAAAGAGCCCATCCTGGCTCTCGTCCATCTCAGTGGAGCAGGCAGTGATTCAGAGGACTTTAGGATGCATCCTCTTGGGTTTGCAGGAAATGCCCATTCAGAAATTCTTGCCCGCATCATAGAAAGGCACTTGGCTTAGAACCTCCCAATCTTTTGCAAGGGCTCCCCACGGCAGCCATTTTGCGATTTGCCCCATCTCCTGTGGCAGCCATTTTGTCATTCCTCCCATCTTCCATAGTAGCCACTTTATGGTGGCTTCCACTACCCTTTCTCAAAATCCCAAAAGGCATGACATGTTTGGGGACCCCCGTCATAGAGGCATGTTAATTATCTTGGTTAGATTAGATAAAAGACTGCAGCTCAAGTTTAAGGATGTAGAAAACTGCTTTGTTTCAGTCAGATCACACTATTGGTCCATCTAGTTCACTTCTGTTTAGTGTAGCTGATAGACCCTCTCCACAGTCTGAGGCAGAGAAAGGTCTTTCCCAGTGCCTGCTTCCTGAAGTGCTTCAGGTGAAGGTGCAGGACCTGAACCCAGGACCTTATGCATGCAAAGCAACTTCTCCCTGACTGTGCTCAGCCTTTTGTTACAAAAGTTAATACAGAACTCCATGCCCTGTACTGGATCAGATTGTGTGGAACAGAGCCTCCTGGAAGAACAAAATTCTCCCCATGTTGGGCTGGCTCTGGCAGGATCTGAAAAGTGGGGTTTACTTGTGTTAGTCTATCATATCAAAATAAAACCAAAGCCCAGGGGCACCTTCTTATGAGTCACATCTCACTTCTTCAGATATGTGGAGATCCATGCTTAAGTGGAAGGATTACAAGAGCAATCCATTCCAGCCTGTTCTGATAACCGATATATTGAAACACAGACAGCCCCCCCCCCAAAAAAAAACAAAAATTGGCTTTCAGGGTTTTTTATTTATTTATTTATTTTTGCATTTTGAGCAGTGAAAAAAATTTTCTTTTACGGGCTGACCTGACAGCAGTAATAAAGTAGTCAGCCTCAAGGGGAACTGACAGTTCCAGGGGAGCCTGCTCGTTTTAGAAATGGCTTGTAGAGACAGCTGCTGCCTGGGCTTCCGAAAGAAATGTCCAGAGGCTTAGCTTATTCAGCTGTCTGCCGAGATAACAGCCAGTTTGGGATAGTGGCTAGACTGCTGGACTGCAAGCAGGGAGCGCCGGACACATCAAGGGGAACTGACAGTTCCAGGGGAGCCTGCTCGTTTTTAGAAACGGCTTGTGGAGACAGCTGCTGCCTGGGCTTCCAAAAGAAATGTCCAGAGGCTTAGCTTATTCAGCTGTCTGCCGAGATAACAGCCAGTTTGGGATAGTGGCTAGACTGCTGGACTGCAAGCAGGGAGCGCCGGACACAGATGATCAAGTGGCCTCGTTAGGTAGAATTAAGACTGAGCTGGAAAGGAAATATACCTCTTGTTGAACTTTCTTTTACACAATGAGAGCTAGAACCTTATTCTCTTCTAAAAGGACCCTGTAACTGGGCGTGATGATGGCTATTCTCTTCTAAAAGGACCCTGTAACTGTCTGGGTGTGATGGTGACACAACCAGATCTGGGTCATGTGAGATCCCTATAAAACAGTGGTTGGGGGCAATGTTCCCTCTAAACTATGGAACCCTGTGAGCAAAAATTCTACTTTGTGAGCTACTGGCATTAAAGTTGTGAGCAGGAGCTTTGGCTGCTGCATAAATTAGTTTGCTCTGGAGCCATCCCTTCCTGAGCTAAGACAAAAATGTGTGAGCCAGAGGCTAAAAAACTGTGAGCTAGCTCACACTAACTCAGCTTAGAGGGAACACTGGTTGGGGGTATCTGGTGACAAAGCACAGCATGAGTGGATGTGGGGGGGGGGGAACAGACCCTTTTCTCTGTCCAGACTGCTGGTCCAAAGTGCATTTCTCCACCCATTTCTCTGAGTAGAAGTTATTTCTGGTCACAAAGCCCCACCACAATGAGAAAAATGCTGAGGAGAAGCAATTGGGAGGGGTGGGCAGAGCATGAATGGCTTCATTCCCTCCCTCCTGCTCATCTATGCTGTGCTTATTATCTCTTCACCTGCTTTATAAGGACTGATTATGACCTGGATTGAACTGTGCTCTGTTAGGTCTAGTTGCGCCCTGAAAATCACAGGTTCTATGTAAAAGAAAATAAGGTTCTAGCCCTCACTGTCGAAGAGAATCCTCAATGACAACTCTATTTTTCGTGTGCCCTAAATCTCTCCCTCAACCCCACTCCATTTTATAGGGGAAATTTGGTGACCCAATTCCGACACATGTCTCCCCTGGGCAGACATGCGTAATTGTCCCTGAGAGCTACAGGTCCTTTTACAAAGAAAATAAAGGTCCTCAAGATTCTAGATAAACCACTACCAAAGTCAGCCTTTGCACTCTTACGAGGGACAGACCCCCAACCCACAATACAAGTGTTGGCACAGGTCCCTCATGTCTTACCTGTATCTGCTCAGACCTCTGCATCTTCCCCTTGAGGCCGGCCTCTGCTTTGGAGGCACCGCAAGGATGCATGCGACGCCCCCCGCTGGCGAGACCGCAGGTACTCGCGGTAGTTGCGGGTCAGCAGGGTGTAGAGGAAAGGGTTGATGCAGCTGTTGCCGTAAGTCAAGCAGGTCACCAAATGGTTGATGGAGATCTCCATCTGGACGGGCAAGCGGGCTGCCAGTGGGCAGTAAAGGGGCAGGAGCTGCCAGATCCAGAAGGGCAAATAGCATGCCCAAAAGGCCAAGACAATGATGAAGATGAGGAGGAAGACACGGTTCTTCGGTGAGCGGCCTAACCCGCCTCGGGCCTGGGAAAGCCAGTAGGTCCTTGCCAGGCGCCAGTAGAGGGACCCAATGACTAGGCCCGGAGCCACAATGCTAGTGCTGAAGAGGATACTCAGGTACACCCGGTACTGCTCTTCGCTCCAGATGGAGGAGCAGAGACGCCGGACAACTGCACCCTCGCCCACCACGCGCTCCTCTTGGTGGATCATCACCATCATGGGGAGAGCGAGGGCAAAGGACAGGAGCCAAATAGCGACAGCCAAAGGCCGGCGGTATCGCCGTGCGCGGCGCGCGGCCTGAAAGGGGTGTGCCACAGCAGCATAGCGTTCGCAGCTCATCAGGGTGAGCAGGAAGATGCTGGCGTGCATGGTGAGAAGATCGAGGCTGAGGAGAACCCTGCAGCCTGCCTCGCCAAACAGCCAATCTTTCACCAACCCGTTATGCACGATGAAGGGGGCCGTCGAGAGGTACAGCAGGTCAGCCAGGGCCAGGTTGACGAGGTGAACACGCAGCGAGGAGGCTGACGGGGAGGCCCGCACTACAGCCAGGGCGTAGAGGTTCCCGGCCACCCCCGTGGCACACATCAGACTCAGCACAGCTCCGAGGGCTGCCGCTGACTCGGCCCCCTCCGACAAAGAGGAATTGCCCAGGGTCATCCACAAAGAAAAGTTGGTTGGCGAGGGCTCCATAAAGCAGACAATATCGGCTGTCCGGCTGTCTGAACTTCTCAATATCTCTTCTGGTCTTGAAGAGAAAGGAAGGTTACGGCACCTGGCGATTCTCCCCCATTGCTCCCTATTTATTGAGCTGTCTCTCTCTCTCGATATTGTTCACCTGCCTGATCTACCGCACTGTGTTTTTCGTTCACTTACTCATTTTTTTCCCCCTGTTGCTCCATCCTATTCTTGCCAATATCGGGCCGCAAAGGATATTCCGGGGATTTGCCCCCTTCCTCCTCAAATCTGTCTTCCGTCCAGGTCGTACGGTTGTGGCTCCCCATTCGGATGCGAAGACCTGGTTGTTCAGTCTCTTGTTCCTTTGCTCAGCGTGTCTGAAGCCAGCAGTGGTGGCGAGAGGTCTCCAGTGTGTGAGAATCTGCGTGTGTCTGTCTGAGGCTGCGGATTCTCTCCTCTCGCATTCCTTGCACCCTGCTAGTGTCGGTATGTCGGGGTTGAAGTTGGCCGGCCCCTCACGAGGAGCACATCTCTCAGCTCCCGTCTTGCGTTTGAGGAACCTGTTTATTTCGTCCGTGGGGTGGGATTCGGACAGCGTGTCAATGAAAGGCGCTTTGGGGCGGGCGATGATACAGCGTTTGGGGGTCCGATTGGTCCAGACTTTCGAAGAGACAGAATTCCTAACCTCCACCTCCTCTCCCCCCGCCCCGAGCAGACTGACATGGAGGGCCCAACTCCCTGCTGGCATAACCATGTTGCTTTCAATGGAATTACTCCAACCAGGAGGGAAAAAAAATAACTAAGAGATAGAAAGACCAGAGGGAAACTGGAGGGCTCGATAAATAAAAGAAACGCGTTAAATGCAGACAGGACCAGGTCTAACAAAAAAGAGTAGGGTTTAAAGAAGGCCTTTCAGTATTCTTACGATTTTCATTTCTACCTCTAAACTGTTGCCTCCCTCCCCCCAGTGATGAAATAATTTAAATACTCCAATCCAAGGCTTCCTCTAAGCTGTGGAGTCTTGTGAGCAAAAAAAATTCAGGAGTAGGACCTGATGCTCTTGTGCCTAAAGTCTTATCAGGTACTAATTTCCCACTCTTTGGTAGGCTCGTAGCTACAGTGAGGGCACCTTGGGGCTGAGCCCCCCGATTTACCACCCAGGCCTCCCAACTTTTCGATGGGTTGGGTCGGCGCTGCGCGCCGCTGTTGCTGGTGCACATGTGGCCCCAGGTGAGGCCGGGCGGGTGGTTGGGGACCCTGGTAGGCTGACCCTGCACGAGACTGGCACGGGGACAGGGATGCGGTGCAGTCGGGCTCTGGGAAGGGTAGTTGGGCAGGAGATGTGCCATTCTTCCTTCCCTTCATGGCAGCTGGAGCTCTGTTTCAGGGCTCTGTGGCGAGGGGGGGCTCAACCCTTCGCTATGCCTCTTCCTTGGTGGCTTGCATGAGAGACCAGGGGCTTCTATGGGGCACTCCCAGGCTTGGGTATGTGGGGGTGTCCCCTGACTTACTTAAAGCCCCCCCCCAATAAAAAAATCCTGATGTCTCTAGAGGCCCACAAATCAAACACACCATCATCCCCAAGCCAAGAGACCCCATGAAGAGGCAAAAGCTTTACCAGTTGAAAGCATGACTGACACACAGCTGCTAAGTTTCTGTCGGAAACTGAGATGCAATCTTACTGTGTGCGTGTGTTGGAGGTGAATAACCAGGGCTTTTTTTGTAGAAAAAGTCCAGCAGGAACGCATTAGCATAATAGCCCACACCCAACAGCAGAAACTCATTAGCGTATTAGGCCACACCCCGACGGCACAACTTATTAGCATATTAGGCCACACCCCATGCCTTTCCCTTGGGGAGCCCAAGCAAGCCCCCCCTTGAAGGGATGGGAAGACAGTTTAAACCGCTTTCCCTTGGCTTGCCCGGGCACTCCGCAGCTGCAGGGAGCCTGGGCAAGCCGGTCCTTGAACAGGCCGGGGAAGGCACAGGGAGCCATTTAAATGCCTCCCCGATCCTTCCACGGCCCCCCCTGGCCCACCTGCCTCGGAGTTGTGGGGGGGGTTGTCGCCTGGCCCGCCTGCCTCGGAGTTGCGGGGGGTGGGGGTGGTCGCTGTCCAGGCCTTCCCTCTGTAGCCACGCACACAGAGGTTTTGGCTGTGGTGGGCATGGCCAACTCTGAAGCCAGCAGGAACTCTATTCCTGTGTGTTCCTGCCCAAAAATAGCCCTGTATAACTATGGGTTTCAGAAAACACTTTTGACTTGCTCCAGCTGCTTCTAGATCATTATTTTCCCAGGCGTGGAGATTATGGGATTTAGGAGCAGAAGATTCTGACAGTTTGGTTTGGTGTACAGCTAATTTTTGTTGTGCCCAGGCATCTCCCATTCCCAAATCTTATTGACTGTGCGGGCACTTTTAGAATTCTGAGAATGGGAAGGAATGCCACGAAATGGCAGTCAAGGGAACAAATTCAATCACAAAATGGCTGCCAGTGAGTACTGGAGCAGGGTGGGACCAATCACAAAATGTCATGAGGTTATGCTGTTATGATGGATGGGGACAAATGCTTCTGAATGGGTGATGCTACTTCCTGGGTTTTTCTGAGACACTTCCTACTCCAATGAGGTAGAGGAAAGCCAGGACTGGCTGTTTACTGGACTCCAGGAAACCCCCTCATTGGGTGTTGTGATAATGCCCACGAGCACCATGTTGGAGATCACTGTTCTGTTTAGGGTTGCCAACTCTGGGTTGGGAAATTCCTGGAGATTTTGGGGTAGAGCTTGGGGAGGACAGAGTTTGGGGAGGGGAGGGACTGTAGAATGCCATGCAATCCAACCTTCACAGTTGCCACTTTGTCCAGTTTATCAAGGCAATTAATGTGTCTATACTACAGAGATTTAGTATATTCCATGCACCTCTTGGTTGTAAATGTGCAAAACGCCTGGATGATTTGGGTGTGTCTGTGGTCAGTCTTTGTTTATATGTGCTTGTGAGTGGCATTTGTCCCTGTGTTGTGAGTGTATGTGCTTGGATTGAACAAATATATATCTTTATAGTCAGTGTGTGTGTGTGTGTGAGAGAGAGAGAGAGAGTCTGCGGTTCAGTAGTGTTCGTGTCAAATGTACTTGATGTCATAATGCCTCATACTGTGCCTACACAGTTTGTAAGTGTTACCCTCTCCTTTATTCACTGTTGTAGCGTAATCTCTCACCCCATCTTCTTTATGCCCTTAGCACCACTGCCCCCGCTATCGCTCATAGCCCAAAATCCCCACCCCCATCTTTGACTGGTCACTGGCTTTGCTTGAAAAGAGGTTATTCCTGGCCTATGTTGTGTGGATTGTACTAAGGGGCGGGGGGGAAGCATGTGGAGGGGGAAATCCTAGCCAGCAGTCCAGGGACTCGGCCAAAGCAAACTGGGTTGGCGCTGCTGGGTTTGTCTAACCCCATGACCCCTCCTCTGGGAGGGAAGAGGAGAATCTAACAAATCCAAGCAAAGAGCCGGGTAGAACCTCAGAAGGAACGTTGAGCCCCAGGGTAGCACCCAGCCAAAGAACCTGGTTTGAATTACACGCAGTCACAGTTTTCTAAGCTATGATAAAAAGTCTCTGAGCGTATGCAGAGTGTTTCCCTCACAATCATTTTCCCCACATTTGGGAACCTTTAGGCACATCAAGCTGCTGTAGGAATGGGTCTTGTGAGGGGCAGCCCTGACTTTATCTGAGGTGGTGGTCTCATTTAGAAGAAGAAGAGATTGGATTTATACCCCGCCCTTCACAACCTGTTCCTCTCCCCACAACAGACACCCTGTGAGGTACGTGTGGCTGAGAGAGCTCTGAGAGAACTGCTCTTGAGAGAACAGCTCTGAAAAAACTTTTAACTGGCCCAGGGTCACACCAGCAGCTGCATGTGGAGGAGTGGGGAATCAAACCCAGTTCTCCCAGATTAGAGTCCGCACTCCTAACCACTACAACAAACTGGCTCACCCCACCATGCTTGGTCTGTGGCAGTGTTGTGACTGTGGGGCAGTGTTCCCTCTAAGCTGAGTTAGTGTGAGCTAGCTCACAGGTTTTTAGCCTCCAGCTCACACATTTTTATCTTAGCTCAGGAAGGATGGGTGCAGAGCAAACTAATTTATGCAACAGCCAAATCGCTCGCTCACAGCTTTATTGCCAGCAGCTCACAACGTAGGATTTTCACTCACAAGACTCCACAGCTTAGAGGGAGAATTGGCTGGGGAGTAGAGCTAATTGGCTCCCAGCTTGTAGGATCTGTGTCAGCTGTTGCCACCTGGGGTTAAACTGGTAGGGTTTTTCAGTGCTGAAAAACAAATTGGGTAGAGTCAGATGTGGACTCAGCAGCACTCATTTGCTCTGTGGCAGAAAATATTTGTGGCAAGGATTTCTCCCTCACTAAATCATCCTGTGGCAGAAATGGAGGTAAAAATAAAGGGTTTCTAGAGCACATGTGTGGCAGAAAATATTTGTGGCAAGGATTTGTGGTAAAAATAAAGGGTTTCTAGAGCACATATCCTTTAAGAGGAACTGTCTAATGTTGTACTGTTAATCAGCCAGGTCTGACTGGTGAAAGCAGTCAGATAACCAGGTAACAGGTAACCACGATTGCAGTCTGGAAGCCGGTCGGTTCCACATTCTGCCACGTTTCCTCCCCTGACCGACCCATCAGGTTCCATTTTGTGAAATGAACTTTTGGCCCCCTGGCACCGAAGTCGACTGCCTCACGCAGATAAGGAGGGCTGGAGGAAACCTGGAGAGGTTGCTTGTTTCCCTTCTTTCTTCCCTTTTCTCTTTCTCTCCCTCTTTCTCCATCCTCTCCACCTGGTCGCCAGACAGGGCACAGGGGAGGGAGGCTGAGGGGAGCGCGATTCTTCTGAGGGAAGAGCCCACCTCCCCCCTTGGCTGCCACCTCCCAGCCCCGAGTCCAAGGACAGCAGGGGGCTCCTGGCCGCCAGGCCTGGATTGTACACGAGCGCCAGCAGCTCACAGAAAAATAAACC